AACACTACTATCTTTGTGTTGGAAAAAAAAAGTAATAGCATTTGGTCTTTTACATGTAGTCTTTTTTCCCTCTCAGGAATTATGCTAAACACATGGACAGCTGGGGTCAACCAGGGTGAAGAAAGCTCAAATATTCCACTTGGCCTCCAACCATACCAGCTGTGCTCCTTTTTTCTCATTAGGCTCAGGCTTTTGGCTTTCACAAGCTCTTCCCTTAGCTTTTGTCTGCCGGCAGTGCTAAGGCCAGCGAGGGTCCTGTCACGAATTCCCAGGATGCAGTTTCTTCTTGCTTTTACTCCTGTGGGTAACCTCATGAGGAGAGCAGGGAAGGCAGCAGAAATCCCTGGTCAGCCTAGGAGGCCAAGGGGATGGACAAGAAGAAGTCTCTGTAGGGCTCAGTGTGTGCCCCTAGGGCCCAGCCTTGGCTTTGGGTCAACTTTTTCAGCAGCAGAGAAGTTTGTGGAAGTGGCCTTTCTTTATCCTTGGAGAATCACAGAAACTCATTTGTGCAGCCAAATTTCAAGGTACTTTATCAGCTTATATATGAAACTTGCTTTTATGGGTTGTGGTAGAGCAATGAATTTCAAGTGTTTGAACAATAGAGAAGCTCCTGAGGATGGGGCCTGAGTGAGGACATTCCCTGCTTACCTTTAATTGGCAGCTTTCTCCTGGCTGGGAGGGTTTTCTGCCCTTTCTCCTTGGGATAAGAAGAGATGAATCAGTCAGGGCTCCTCCTAAAGGAACAGGGAACACTTGGTGACATAGGAGCTGATCTCTTTTGCTCTTGGCTGACAAATAGGCTTTTCATCTTCTTCAAGATGCTCAGTGATAAAGAGCAGGTCAGCGATGACCATGGCAGAATTAGCTGTTCAAGTGTCTTCCTCTTCAGGTTATGTGTAGGAAGCAAACACATAGACTTAAAACCTATGCAGTGAGAAAAAAGCTCTTTGAGATTTTTATTTCATAATTCAAATTTAATTTTATTGGAAAATCCTACAGTAGAGACCATTTTGTGTCAGATAGCATCTTCCTGCTCCACATGAGCTTTGCTGTGACAGGAAGCTCCAGTTCTTGCCAATCTGCCAAACAGTTTTGCTTCTCCTTTCCCTACTCAGTCTGAGCCCACAGTCAGAACTGATCCTGTATTTATCTGAAAAAGCTTTCCCATGTGGAGCTGTGAACAGCCTGAAATAGTAGCAGTAACTTCTGCACTGTTTTGAGATGCTGACATGTTTGGAGACACTGAAACAGCTTAAAGAAGTGAGGACGAAGGTAGCATATTCAAAAAGCATTCAAAATTAGGAAATGCAGTCAAAGCTTATAAAAAAAGTTATTTAAACTAAAAATGAAAACAAATTAGGGTACTTGAATATTTTTAGGAATAACATTTTGGCAGGCAAACTTTTCCAAATGCTTTCAGGGTCATATGCGTGCTGTTCTTCTTTAGGTGGGAGTCCCATTTAAACTGCTGGGAGTTGTGCCTGAATAAAACTTTGGCCCATGATTTTTCCTAATATGACATTTTTTTCTTGAATGACCTCCTGGCAACCTTGTTCATAAGTCATTTGTCATGTTTGTTCTCTGAGTAAAAAGTGCCTTCCATCTGTTCTTAATCTGCGCTCCCTTTAACTTCTATTTTTGCCTCCTTTTTTCTGTCATCTGTGTTGCATTGGAAATAGACTTTCTGGGCAACTTTATTTATCTCCATGTAAGCAGTTTTAGTTATTGAAATGAATCTCCTGGTGGTCTTTTCTTTAGGCCTAGACAACCATAGTCATCAGGAAAGAAAAATAAAAAGGAGAAAAAATAAAGAGGCAAGAGCTTTTAATTAATTATTTAAATTATGGAAGTTTTACTTAGATGCCCCTCTCTAGACTGCCTTGGCTAATGTTTTCTTTCTAATTCCTTGTGGTCGTCCAGCTCTCAGCTTTACAGACTTGTGTTTTCTGGTCTGGTCTCTCACACCAGCTCTTCATTTTAAGTGTAGCACATGTGCATGTGCTATCCTTTTTCCTGACATGACAGTACATACATAATTTCCTACATTCTCCAATAAAGTCCACAGTTGTTTTGGTGAAAAAGTGGAGCATTGTTTTATAGGAAAAAAACAGAAAAATAATTATTACCTCTTCTTGATACAAATTTTGGCAATTAATGCTGATTTCTCAGCATGCCGTGACTTCTAATATAGAAAAAAATCTCTTCTTCCAAAGCCTTATTAATATGTGTGCTCCCCTCTTGTGGAAATGAACATATTCCCATTCCCTCTATTCCCAAACTCTCTAGGTTTAAAGAAACCACTGCACATGTCTTTCTTTTCCTGGCTGGGAGAGTGCAGGAGAAGAAAGAAGGCTCATTCTCTGGATCCTTTGATCAGCAGAGTGAGATCTAAGATTGAGCAATGCCTCATTATACTGATGGACTAAATTTACCATTAATAAATATAATACACATGGGGGGTAGATCTTAACTTATATATGCAGACATGACTAAGAGTTACAATTGCTAGTTCTAAAAAAAACAAAACCAAAAAAAACCTCAAAACTAACCCAAACCCCAGTGTGTTCAGCAGAGGACAAAAAAGCAAGCAATGTTTGAGAACTTTAAAAAACTCAATAAAAAGCAAAACAGCAATCACTGTTGCACTACACAAAGTACAGAAACCTGTTGTACATCCAATCTTTGAATTCTGTTTGCACTTTTGGACTTTTCTCAGGAAGTAGACCTCGTGCAGACTAATCAAAAGTGTGGAAGAGCTTGTCTGGAATAGCTTCCATAAAGGTCACAGCTATGTAAAGTTGGGCTCTTCACTCTTGGAACACGAGGATGGAGGGAAGGATCTGTAACAGCACGTGTGGCACATAACTGGTGACAAGTTCAAAAAGAACAGGAGGATGGAATTTATTGTACAATGTATAGCTGAAATGGGAAGTTCACTCTCACAGTATGTTGTGGATGCCAATAATTTACAGATATACAAAACGTTATTTAATAAAATGAATGGAATGTAAACACAGTTATGGCTATTAAAAAGTGTGACCTCATCTTAGGAAGGCCCCAGAGCTGGGCTGAGATCCTGAGGGAGCATGAGTTCATGCCTGCCTCTCATGCTTCCCTCAGCTGCTGCAACTGTCTGTTCTTGAGAGACAAACTGCCAGGAGAGGTGAATTCTGATCTCCCAGTGCAGCCACTGCATTTGCTTTGATGAAATCAGACTTACCACACAGCTCTTACTGCAACTGTGCCTGTTCATTCAGATTCAACCTTTAATTTATTTGTAGCTCTGTATTAAGAAAAAAAAACAACAAACCACAACCAAAGAGGAGCTTTGTTGGTTAGCATTTTTCAGCCATGGGGCTGTGATTGATGAGTGGGGAAGGATGTGACCCAGGAGGTCTAGAAATTGATCCCTCAGCCCTGTCCTGCTGTGTGGATGCCTGCTAGGTTGTGTTTCATGGCCCATGCTAGCTCACTTTGTAGGCTGGGGTGGGTGATGAGTGCCTTGTGCAAGATCAGTGCCTGTGCAGCAGAGCCCTTGTGGGCTGGACTGCAGTGTAGGGACTTTTCTTCATCCAGAAAATGCTGATTTTTATTGGTTTTGTGGGTTCCTTTCAGAAGGGCACTGCCTACATTTTTCTTTGTATCATCTCTCCTCTTTTGCTTGCTGCTGAATGCATGCTTGGTAAATATTGTATTTTTTCCATTCCTTCTCAAGCCAATACATGACCTCTGAAGTAGATGGCCCTGGGAAAAGACTTCATCCATGCTTTCTAGCAGCCTTTTTTGTTTAAAGAAATAGTTTCATTTTTGTTTAAAACATATTATAACTGGCCTTGAGGGAGATGACTCTGCTTTAATAATGGTTTGGTTTAAGCATTTTGCTACTAAACTGGCTTATTCTCATTTTAAAGTTTTCTTTATTCCTATTTTTAAAATAGTGCATTGTATTTGGAATACACATTGCAAACATGTAATTCTCAGATGCTGTCATTCTGTTTCTCAGGAAAATCAACTAAAAATAGTTTTAAAATTGTTGTGGTAGAGATCCATCAAACCTATAGTAACAAACTGATAACTGTTTTGGACAGGTTTTATCCTACTGAATATCGAGCTTGTTGATTTTTTAAATTATTCTAGTTTCTCAGTCAGAAATCATGGAAGCCTAGAACAATTTGTGTTCAAAGGGACCTTAAAGATCATCTAGTTCCTACCCCTAAAATGTGCCTAATTATAGGTATATAGCACATGCCACATGCAAAATACTAATGATGTATGAGTCACAAGCTGGTGATCTGAGAGTTAATAATGTATTTTAGACTCTTCTGTTGTCAGGAGTGCAGAAAAGGGAGAATGCCCATTTTGTGCCCAAGGTGGGGGAGCAGTGGAAGTGAAACTCTTGAGTCCCATTGAGAAGTTACTGAAGGCAAAACTTGAAGTGTGACCTCTGCTGTCAGCCCGAGCAGGAATGTAGGGAGCAACATCAAAATGTTTCTTTTTCACTCTTTTAAACTCTTTTAACATTGTTTTAAATCTCAACAGAGATTTGCATGCGAGAAAATTTGCCTTATTGAGACCCATTGAAGAAAGACACTCTACCAGTATTATCTCCTACTTATTATTATTTTATTTTAATTTAGCTGGAATGGCTTGAATGGAGCAAGAGTCTAACTGAAAGACAGGCCTTGCCTTGCTGCCACAGGGTTTTGGTGAGATGAGATCACAAGGAAGAACTCAACTGAGAAATTGTCCTTGGAAGTGTTAAGTAACTGGGTTTTGGATACAGAGGTACCACTAGAGAAGGGAGAAAAGGGAAATTAAGGAAGATCTGGAAATAAATCACATAATCACATTTTCTCCTATAGTTATACTTCTTTGATATTTAAGGTTGTGCTGAAAAGAACTTTGTAATAGACAAAATGTGAACATTGAGCTCTCACTACTGAGCTTTCTGTCATAGCCTAATTATTTCTTTCTTTTTCCTCTGTCACTTTTTCGTATAGGTGGAAAATGTTAGGTTACTTGATCGTTTATCTTCAAGAAGAGCTGTGGTGGGAACCTTGTATTTAACAGCTACCCATGTCATATTTGTGGAGAATGGTTCTGAAACCCGCAAAGAAACCTGGGTATGAATTTTTATTATTTCAGTTAGCTCTAAGTGCATGGCACTTCACTGATGGTAATTTGAAAATTACTTCCAAAACACTTTAAAAATAGTTAATTACTTCATATGGATGCTTTTATGAGGCCATGCGAAGTTCTAGCCTAGCAATTTTCAAACATTTTTCAGTGGATTCTAGATATTACAGTATAGTAAGAATGTATGAATACCAGATGTGAGTGACTGAGGAACAGCTGCTGTAAACTGCACTGTATCATCCAGGAAGAACTGAGAAGAAATGCCTTGAATATGAACTATTTCTTTGCTTCTGTCAATTCTTGGCCTTCTCCTTTACTGGTAGTGTTGAATCAGTGATTTTTTTTGTTTAATACTTTATCTTTTTTAATAAAGTAGTAATTTGAAATAGCTGTTTTGATTGATTGACAAGATATATTGCCTTTTCTTGTTTTTTAACCCCAACCATTGACCAAGCCCCATGCAGCCACTCTGCTGCCAACCAGCAGAATCAGGGAGAGAAGCTAAAGAGTAAAAGGTAGAAAATGGGTTAAGATAAAAAGAGTTTAATTAGGAAAGCAAAAGCCACACAGACAGGCAAACCAAACCAAGGAGCAAATTCACTGCTTCCCATGGGTAGGCAGGTGCTGAGCCATCTCCAGGAGAACAGAGCCCATCACATGTAACAGTGACTTGGGAAGGTGAATGTCATCACTCCAAATGTGCCCTGCTTCCTGCCTCCTTCCACTTCACACGCTGAGCATGGTGTCACAGGGTCTGGAATATCCCTTTGGTCAGTTGGGGTCACCTGTCCTGGCTGTGCCTCCTCCCAGCCCCCATCACTCTCAGTTTCCTGGCCAGCATTGCAGTTGGCCTTGGCTCTGTGTAAGCAATAACAAAGCCATCTCTATATGATCAACCCTGTGTTCAGTGCAAATCCAGAACACAGCCCCATGGCAGCCACTGTGAAGGAAATTAACTCTGCCCCAGCCAAAACCAGCACACATGTACACATATAGGTACAGCTGTTGCTGGGTGTCATACACTGGAGAGTCTTTTATGTAACTTAATTATGCACCCCTTGTCCATCTTCCTTTGATCCCACTATTCCTGACCAGATTTTCATTGTAATGCTTCATCTCATTTGATGCAGTATTTAAAATTATATCAACATTACTGTTCTACCCATGAGGAGGCACAATATTTTAGCCTTATGTAACTGATGCTGGTTCATCTTTTCCCCGTGCAAATAGATGAAAAGAGCTTTGACAACCACTAGTTTACACTAAAGCAAACAAAAAAAAGCTTTGGATAACGTGAGCAGGCTGATGTTTGAGCAGCTGAAACACTCCAGAAATGCCTCTTTGTCTGCAGGTGATGTATCAAGCTGCTTGAGCCTGAAGCTGGAGATACAACCAAACTACAAGAGGAGGAGCATGAAGGTTTTCTGAAAGAGTAGTGGAACCTCTGTGCCTGCTCTGGCACATCATTATGAATAATTGCTTTTCTTCTTAAAGATTTGACTAGCATCACTCTTTTCAATTCCCCTCAGGTTCTCCACAGCCAAATTTCCTCTATTGAGAAGCAAGCCACCACTGCCACTGGTTGCCCCTTACTGATCCGCTGCAAGAACTTCCAGGTGATCCATCTGGTGATCCCTCAGGAACGAGACTGCCATGACGTTTACATATCCCTGATACGTCTGGCTCGGCCAGGTATGGGAAGAAAACAGCACAAAAATCAGCCTTCATCCTGAGGAGGGAGAATTTAATGGAAGAAATGTATCTGTACATCTTTGTCCTTTGCAGTTAAGAAAAAAAGTTTCAATAGAGATGTGTTGTGAGAGAAATATTGATATCATCATTTGTAGATCAATGAAGAAAGCTCATTATAACAAGTAGTTTACTCCATAAAGTATGACATGAACTTCTATTTAAAATAATACTCTAGAGCATCATGGGCCATGAAATATATTATAAAGATATATTGTGTGCAACTCATTTGCTGGATGACTTGTGTAAATGTAAATGTAGGAGAATATTCTAAATTCAGGTAACTTTCATGTCCCTGTTATAACAAAAACTTTACAATACATTTAGTGGTCCTGTCAAGGTTTCCATTTTGAAGTTTTGTGCTGTGCAGAAATTCCTTAAAATCAGTGAAAGGTTTAGCAGCAAGTAGTTGTTTTATTTCACTGGGCTGCCTGTGTTTTGGCCTATTATTACCTACATTTTGAATATGCCCTGTGTGTTTCTGAATTCAGTTCAAGATCTTTTTGAAACCTTTCCCCTTTTCAATGAAAAATCAAATGTTGCATCAAAGCCCAACATTTTTTGCCTACATTATAGCTCCTCTCTGCACTATGCTCTCCTAAGACCAAATTGACAAAGCTTCTGGATTGTTTATTTTAAACTATGACTTTATAAATATAACACCAGCTTTGGTCCTTTATTATTATTTTAACAGTATGCAAAGAAATTATCTGTTACAGTATTTACAAAGCTGACAACAACTGGATTTAATTTTTTTCTTGTTGGGAGAATACCAATTTTATCTACTGTATAGAGGGCTCAAAAACTGCACAGTCGACCAGCACAGCTACTGAGCTTTAGAAAGTACTAATAGTAGCAGTAGTACCTCCTAAGCATAGCAGAAGTAACTTGGTAAGCTAGGTGATGCAGGGTGAAAGTAATCAGAGAAATTTAAAACAATTAGAAAAATTCCATCAGTGGTTCTGCTGATGAAAATCTGGACTCATCCCATGCACCTCAGCTGCAAGTACATGTTCATGTATGCTGGAAGACATGTGATACTGTAATCCTTTTTCTTGGAGGTAGGAGGAGGTGTGCATGCTGCTGTGCACCAGAATGATGAAAGGAAGAGTAGCTGAGGACCCTGAATACAAGTTCAGTGACTGACTGCAGTGGACAAGAAGGTCTGAGTAAAGAAGATGCAGTAACAGCCCTGTAGAATTAGCTCTTTGCATGGTTTAGCTGCACAGCAGTTTTCCTTCTCCAGCAAACTATCTGATCATGATTTGAGACAGGATAAGATCTTGCCTACCTACTCAAAATTAGAAGGCTCTGATTCAAGCTGAGTCATTTGTACCTGACTGTGCTCTTCCCTGTCATTTTGTCAGGGCATGAAGCTGTTCTTCCTTTGGATAATATGGTTACTCAGCATTAGAAGGTGCTTTTTACTCCATGAGCAGATAATTTGACCTATTCAGGCTCTATTTTACATTCTCTGCTCTGTTCTTTTCATTCAGTTCTGAGAGAAGCTCAGGTTGCATACCAGTTTAACATGTTCCATGCTATCTGATATTCTAGTTACAGTAAAGGTGAAGATTATGCTTAATTTTATTTTTGCTAGAATTTTAATAAAGTCAAGCTGTCAGATGCATTTGGCCTTTTTGCTTAATTAAGCCATTTTGTAAAACAAGCTGACCATCAGATACTCCATGTTTAATAGCAGGATTGCAGATATTTATAGCAAAATTACTGAAAGATTGGGAAAGGTCCTATAAATACTGGCAAATATGTGGTTAAGCACTGACTACTAATACTTGAACATTTTTGTAACTATGTGCATATACCATCACGTGATAATAATTATAATGTTGAGGCAGACTTCAGCCATAAGTAACCTGCATACATAGGTAGATTTTTTCCTTGTGCCTGTGAACAGCAGGTCCATTGGAAAGAAAATCCAGATGCTTCTGACAACAAAGCAGTGAAAACAGGAGCTCAAATTGCTACCAAAAGCTCAGCTTGGATTTATGGATTGTGCTAAAACTTTAGGTTAACGTGTGAGAAATAAACCAGACTGTCTTCCTAATGTGTGCCATGCCAGAAGTTTGACATTAGAGAATAGAGAAGGAGTTTAAACTGCTGGAAAATGTGGAAACCATTCTCTTTTTTCTCCCTACTCAAGGCTTTGTTGATTTTCAGTATGTTCCTGACAGAGTTAACATGAACATCCCTGTAGCAGCTGGGATTCAGTGGCAATGGTGTCTGGCTGCCACTGGTCACCAGGATTAGGATTAATTAAATGCAGATATACTCCTAAAAAGAGTTTAAAAACTCCAGCACCACCAAACTTTCATATATGGCACCTGATCGAGGGGGACAGGTGGCATAGCTGCTTCCTGGTGATGATTAAATATTTCATGTAGCCCATGCTTCTTTTATGCTGTTACATCATGTGCATCTCGAATGTATTTGCTATTAATTCAAGGACTGAATTTTGCAGTCCACAAAACTATGATCTATTGGAAACCTTCTTAATTAGGGAAATGACTACTGAGTTGGTTTTTTTTATTATTTTTGAAAGAATGTGCTGCAAAGACCATTGTTCATATCTTTTTTCTTTGCCATGGGATAGATGTTACATTAATAAACGGACTTCTAAACTACCTCTAGATAGCAAATTCTTTTGAAGAACAAGTGCTTACTCTGGCACTGGCTTTAGTTTTCTTTGGATGAAAGCATATTGCTGACATTTTGTCTTTGTGCTGGGGAAAGATTTTACTAATCTACTGAAGACTAGCAGAACAGTACATTTTAAGTAGCACTTCTCTTAAGGCACATACATTGGAACATATACAAATAACAAAAGAGCATGTACTTTCAAAGTTTACTTGACAGTAGATATAAAGCAGGATATGTGCTTTTGTAAAGCAAACTGTGTTCTTTGAAAGGAAACTGCATCAAGGTCCATGCCAAGTTCTGGTTTTGAAGTGTGATTTCAGGGTGAGAAATCTGAAGTAATTTACCCTTTCTGTTTCTTTGCTTATTTCTTTTCCCAGTGAAATATGAAGAGCTGTACTGCTTCTCCTTCAATCCAAAATTAGATAAAGAAGAACGAGAGCAAGGGTGGAAGCTTGTGGACCTCAATGAAGAATATAACAGGATGGGTGTTCCAAACAGCTATTGGCAGATTAGTGATGTGAACAGAGACTATGGAGTAAGTTGTTGTGATTTTTCTGTCACAGAGGCAGTCTGTACAACCAATCAGCAGCCTGACTGAGGACCACCATAGTGCTTAGTGGCAGTATCTCCTTGTGCTCAGTGCTGTACACACACGTAGTAAAGTGCAGTTACTCTACTACTTTGCATAACATGGCACACAGAAAGTGAGAGAAAGGATGGCTCTTCATTTAACAGATGTGGAAATGAAGAGCAGAAAGTAAGTCCACTGTGTTTTAAATGTTAGAGTTCAGCTGCCTGGGAAGAAGTTTAAGTCATACCTAAGGTTATGTGTGTGAATAAGAGTTTCCTTGATATGTAGGGCTATGTAAAATTACTATGTAGTCATTTTAAGAAAAAAAAATTTAAAAAATGTTCCAGATAGTGAGCTTGGCAATATTTTTTCCTCACTGGCTGTTCCCACACTCCTTTTGAAGCATCTGTGATTGGCTGTCAGTGATTTTCACAGTGATCTTGTGGTCGTAAATCTTCCTAGCTGCCTGCTGTCCTTTCTCATTCAGTCTTGTACGATTGAAGAACTTTTAATGTTAATTAATTGTGAAAAATAATAACCAAGACATTTTTGAAGGAAGTTTGTCCATGCACTCCATTGGTTCTGTTGCTGGAACATATCCATGTTAAGGAAGGACTGTGATATTCTCAGAGAAGATTGAATGTGCTATCAGGGTTTGTTTTCTTTTGTTAAAATGAGTGGAAAAAAAAGTATGATCTCTTTTAAGATAAAGTGTAGAAAAAATGTCATGATGAATAAAATCCAGTTCACCACAGCAACAACTGTAACCACAAGCCCTTCCTTTCCTTTCTCTTTCATTACATATCTCTTGACTCAGAAAATAATTTTTTCCTGGCCATCCTTAGTGCTTTAGTCATCTCAGAAAGTCAAAGGGAGATACTGAATATCCCTCTGACCCCAGTCAGAATGCTACAGACAATATCAGAAAAAGGGGATAAAAACAGGATTCCATCTGTGGTCTCACTTGTCTTCAGAGGTAATTTGGGGCTTTTTTTGCAGGCTTATCAGGTTCCTCTCAGAAGTGGTAGGCATTGTGAGGGCTTTTGGTAGCCTCATTTCATGTAGCTTAATTTCTTGTCAACATGTCACTATTTTTGTCCTTTTTTTACTATAAAATTTTCTGAAAAATTGGGCTCTATTATTGTAGAGCCAAATTGGCTCTATTATTATTTGGCTATATTATTATAGCCCTGCCATTATTGTCCCCTCCTAGCAGAGTATTTGAGAACTTCACCCACTCCCATCCTAACTCCCAAATTCTGCTACAGAGGAAACTGCAGATGTAAATGCAACCTTGGTAAATGTAACAATAAATCCTTTCTGGAACGAATGTGTGTTAAACCTGTCTGTCCTCAACAAGACATGAATTAACACTTGGAAATACATCCCTTCAACCCTTCTGCTTCAGTTTTTCCATCTGTAAGTTAGGATTAACACTTTCCAGCTTCAAAATAATGTTTTGAGGAACAGCAGTCATATGTATACAATAATAACAGACTATTCCCTGAGGTTTGAGTTCCTTGGTATTTTGTTTTTGCTGTGGAAATGGCTAATGTGATTTGTACTTTGCAGACCAAACAAACAGAGTTTCCTTTCACAGGTCTGTGACTCCTATCCTACAGAAGTCTATGTACCAAAGTCTGCAACTGCACCCATCATAGTGGGGAGTTCCAAATTTCGCAGCCGAAGGCGTTTCCCAGCTCTTTCCTACTACTGCAAGGGCAACAATGTAAGTGTGAATTTCTAACCTCAAAGTGTTTGCTTATTTTGGCCTTGGCCTCATAATTCTTCTAGTAAGGTTTTGCAAGACAAAATCGGTGTTTATTTAATTAAAAAAAATATTAGTGTAGGCTGGTTAGTGTGATTAGTTCATTTATAGACATTTAATGCAGACATTTAAACCCAGTTTCATCATCCAGCTAACACAAAAAATAGGTGATCCCTGTATCACAAGGAAGTGGAATAGTACAAGAGGCCCTGAGACACGGGTGGCAAAGCAGCAAAGGCCAGTAGCAGGCAGCTTAGTAGCTGATTGGGAGGAGAACAGAGCAATTTTGCATCTGGTAGCCTGAGAGCAAGTTGAGGAAGTCAAGAAAGTCAGAAATTATGCTTGCATCAGTTAGAGAATCAGGAGCAGCTTTTCAAGAAAAGATCTTTGAAAAGACACAGAAAGGATGGCTATAATAGCTACTAAATTTTGGCTGAGAGTTGTTGTGGTTTTGCTGAAGAGATTCTCCTTGTCTGCAAGTGAGGAGTTCCACCTTCCCCTCTCCATAGCAAAGGGGCAAGGAACTGCTTCACTTGTCTATAACCATTTGGGAAAATAAACTGTACCTAGACTACTTGTATTTCTGTTTCTGGCAGCTGAGGTGAGAAAGGAGATCCTTGGACTGAAGAATCCCCAGACTGGGTGTTTTTACATTTGTGTTCCAGCCCCTTAGGGACTGCCTTAGCTCAGCTGTCATTACCAGTTTGGAGAATGGTGTCCCCTTTGTACTCTCAAAGGATCTGTGTGACTCCTGCTTCAATTCAGAGTGGCACTGAGAGGTCTTCCCTAGAGTTGGGGAGTGGTCAGGACCTTCCAAGAGACAGAGCTAGTCTGGGCTTACAGGGTTTCTGTAGCATTTGCCACACATGCTGGGACATATTTCTGCAGAATGTCACAAGCAGAAATCATAAGCTACAATTTGCATGGAGGTCTTGCCTTTACAGCAGCCCTTATATTAGTTTTAAGCTTCAGAAAAAAGGAATGAGACATTATTTTTACTCCTTTACCCTGTATTTCATCAGAGCATTGCTTCCATAAAGATCTGTGAATTTTACAATGAAGTGGAGAATAGGAAGATTTAAAGAGTAAATACAATCTCTGTATAAATTAAATATTTTAAAAACATTTTTTTCACATTAAATTTTTTCAGAGTTAATCACTTTGCATGATCAACTATGTCCAAATATAGATATCTAGGATTCAAAGCACTTGGACATTTCCAAACCTCAGTGAAAGAAAAGGTTTCAGGGTCAGGTAGATTACCATTAATGTATAGTAATTCATCTTGGATGAGTTCCATGTTTCAGCCTGAATGGTTTCCCTGCTGTGGTTGAAGTTTGGGTTAATGTTCAAAGTACCAGGATCTGAAGTACTGTGTTTGCTCCTGGAACCTTTATAGTTAAAAGAGCTAGGAAATGCAGTTTTGGAGGAATTACCTCCTTGTGAGTTTGGAGGTTGGCAGTAAATAGAGTAATGGGCAGGAAAGGGGTAAGATTTATCAGCAGTTGGGAAGAGCCTGCTGCGTGCAGAGGAGACAGGTACCACACATTCAGTCCTTCATAGACAGAACTTTCACACAGCTCCTTCATCCTGACAAATTCAGTGGTGATGTGACACCTCTGCATCTTACACAATCTGTGTGAATATGATAAGATCAAAGTCTGGAACTATCTGTTCAGTTATGCAATAGCATGTAATAAATCACTGGAATATGTGCTGATCAGAAGACTAAACTCTAAATAACAAGATCCTGTTTGAAAAACCATTAATAAAGTATGAACAGGGTCTCGCACAATTCTGGGTTTCCCTCTTAAAGACCCACACTTTACTGAGTAACTACTGATAGTTCAAAGATGTGACTAAAAAAAGCATGTCCTTTCTCACAGTAATAAATAATCTGCAGGATAGCCAGCAGAGGTTGTGACCTTCAGTAGGCAGATTCTCTTCACGCTTGTGTTCAGTGCTTAGAAAGTGTGCATATTATCCCCTTGCCTTCTATAAATCTAGCTGTCCTCTGCCTAGCAAAAAATAAAAATCTCCCTGCCCACCTATTTCCCATTTTGTTTCTTCTTTCCTGGTTTCACCTGGAATGAAGGCGATCTTGATGGATCTGTGGAGAAACTCTCTTGCCTCCTTCAGTAGCCCTGCTTAATACAAGTGCTCCAGGAGTGAGGCTGCCTGACCCACTTCTTATGCAGTGAGGTCTTTTTCCTAAGGCAGTGCTAAAAATACCCCATCATTGGTGATCTGGTTGCATGTCATACATTTTTGTTTCCTGGACTCATGCTGTCAGGCTGTTTAGTAAAGCAGGCACTGGTGTAGGTTGGCTGTAATCAGTCTGGTACCTGGTGTGAGTACAAAAGGACCTATTCTTTATGTTATATCAATGTTCTCATGATTTCAAGGCTGTACTCATCCTCAAGATATCCCCTTTCTGGAGTTATTCCACATTAGGGAAATACAATACTTAAAATAGCTTAAAATTCAGATTCAAGATTAGACTTGGGCCAATGAGGTTGTATTGTTTTAATGCTTCCTTGCCTTTTAAAAAAATAATGTATTTATTAACATGTAATTAAAAATAATGCATTTATTAATTTTACCATTCTGCCTTTCTCATGTAATTGTACATTTATGCAGACATTTAATGATCTGGTTTTGTAAATGCTTCTGGATGCTAAATAATTTCTACTTTATAATTCTGTAAGGTTTTTTTGTTTGTCTTCATTTCTGCAGGCCTCCATATGTAGAAGCAGCCAGCCTTTATCTGGCTTTAGTGCTCGATGCCTTGAGGATGAGCAGATGCTCCAGGCCATCAGAAAAGCCAATCCAGGCAGTGATTTTATCTATGTTGTTGACACTCGGCCCAAAGTAAGTACATTACATTTCTTGCACATGGCAAGACTGAGTCTGGGCTGGATCCATTAGGGAACCTGACCTGAACACAACCTGAGGGGCTGACCAAGTCACTTCTGATCTTAGTTGCACCTGCCTAACTCCACAGGTACATGAGGATTTATCAGGGGAATCTTAATTAGGAACTTGACCACATTATTATCTCTGGGAGAATTTTCTCCTTTACACTGAACCTTTCCCTTTTCTTAGCAAAATGTCAAGACACAGGAAAGTAAATAACGTGTAGTTGTGACTGTTTACACACACAAAGGAGCTATCAAGTAAGTATATTTCTGATGAGAAATTGTTTGTAATGTTGCAAACCTCTGACTGCTTATACTATAACTCTCCATGAATGATTTCTCCTGGAAGTGAGAAAATTCCAATGACCCCTGCAATAAGGCTAAAGAAAGACAAGTCACTGAGATCACAGGAATGGAAAAGACCTTTAAATATCTCCAGCACTTTGGTGGTTTTGAGAGATAATCTGAAATATGATAAAAAGTGACATCAGATGCCATATCTATAATTGAAGAAAAACCTCTGGACAAGAAAAAAGCTCTAGAAAAAAATTATGGTATGGAGAAATATAGAAACTCAATAATGATCTAGAAGAGGTTGGAAGCTAAGAAATCTGTGTGTCAAAATTGTCATGCTAGCAAACAGCTCAAGGTGATAAAGACTAGTTAGGCTTCAGTATCTGGAGGTGAGAGTAGGGATATGTTCTTTCTAATACTATCAGCAACTTTCCTCTTGAAGTTACCAAAGTCTCTGAAGAACAGAAACTAAAGAGGCAAACCTCCACAGAATCCCTTGTAGGTATAGGATTATCTATAGCATGGAAAAAAAAAAAAAAAAAAAGGAGAATAAATGTTTGAGGAAAAGGAACAAGGAAGCTATTTCATTATCCTGATATCAGAAGACAGAGGGGCAAGGGCAAGGTGAGTAAAACTGAGAACCATGAGAAATGGAGTGAGGAAGGGCAAACGTGGCAGAGCTGGAGCAGGTACAAGGAACCTGCATGGCTGGTGACTGAAGGCATGAGCATTGGTGGGAAGGTGCTGTGGGTGCTCACAGCTCTAATGGGAGGCAATGAGGGCCTTGGCATGTCTCATAACCCAAGTCACACCAAGGGCTGTGTAATCTGGTAACTGCTTTTACCTTCAGTTCCCCCTGTTTTGTTGGGAACACAAGGATGCTACCAGTTTACTTGTGGTCCTGAAGCAAGTGAACTGGGATGAGCACTAGGAAAGGATTGGTACCATTGTGTTCAGAAAGGGCATTAGACATGAAGTACAGACCTAGCTGCCTAAATAATGCTTGTTTTACAGTTTTCTATGTGTAATTATAGTTATAGCTTGTTTCCTGTCTGATGGTATTGCTACTCTTCCCTATTTAAGGCAGTTGGTTTATTGCCAATGACTTACTGACTTGATTATTAATAAGGTTTTGCCAGGTAGTACCAGGAAGGAGCCATCCTTTAATTTTTTTTTTTTTTTCTGGTAAATTGCTTTGAGACACCTTCTGTGTGCAGTGAAAAAAGCCCAAACTTTGTGGAGGGTGTGCATTAGGCTCACTTAGCCATGAATGCCAGCATATTTCCAGCAATGCTGGCTTCTTCAGGAGCTAGTCAGGAGAGGAAGACTGTTTTCACTTAACTGTTTTGTAAAAAAAAAAAAAAAAGGTTTTAATTTAAAGAAATATGTGTACCAGATTCCTACCACTCTCTGTGCAGCAAAAATAGACAGATCTACAAAGCTCCTGTGATGCCAGATGCCAAATACAGCCTTGTTACAATTTTGCACCTGAAAATGCATTTATAAATGTAGAGCATATAGCAATGGATAGGTATCAGTGGAAGTGCTTCCTGGCATTCCTCAGGGAACCTTTAACAAATGTAAAGATAAGATATCCAGTCTGGTGGAAGGCTTTCCATTCCATTCCATTTTAAATGTAGGCAGTTAAAAAGCTGTTTGCCTAATTTCTCATAAGAACCAGCCTCTTATAAATATCATGAATGTTGATGGATCCTTCAATTCAGTATTCCCAAGTGCTCTTCCCTCATTGCACTTGATAATTTTCAAAACAAAAGATTTGTCTGTGGAAGAAAGCTTTGCTTCCACTTCATTTGAGTATATGAGGATCACCAAATACAAATTTACTTAAGCCACTGTCATTTCTCTATGTAATCACAGAAGAAGCTAATGTAGACTTAGTGTTTATGACAAAACACATTATAACAAGACTGGATTTGGTTATCCTCCAGATTACAGAAAATGCCAGGAAATCTTGCAATGAGGGTTTCTACCTTTACAGGCTGTATCCTCATATTCACTGAGATTAATCAAGGACATGCACAATTTAGATAGCTTCACAACCCCTACTTTAAGAGCAGCAGATGGAATTTTGGTAGATGATGTGGAAAACTTGTTAGTAAATATTGTGGCAGCTGCAAAGTTTGGCAACTGACAGTATTTAAAATAAATGAGTGTTAGAAAGCCTTGCAAATTTAACCTTATATTTATTTACTTTCAAAGAGTGCCATTTCAGATTGCCCTTTAAGAAAGGATATTTGTGATAAGATTGCTCTGCTGCAGGAACAGTTAATGGTATTTATGTGCTGAGTACTGGGTTAAGTTAGAGCATAGATGTTTTTCATTTAGGCTTCAGGGGTTTGTTGTGGCTGAGACTCATCTGTACAGATCTTTCTTCCTGAAGCTATAGGCTGCTGCAGAGAGAGATTGCCTCATTTTGTTTATACAAGAACACTGATGTCAACTTCAAAAGAGAAAGATTAGGATTCAGCAGATAATTTATATCTTTGTAGCAAGTCACACAGAGGACTCTGTCCTTAGCTGACATGCTGTTCACAGGCTGTATGGTTTTTTTTTATTGTCCACTGATAGGCAAAACATCAGCAGACTGCTGGTGATAGACAAGAATGGAGTTTATTTGTTCCTGCTCTTTCCTGAATTGCATACTACAAGTTAAAAGAAATTTTGCCCAAGATTTGTATAAATCAAAAATGTTGGATTTTTGCCCAGGTTCCTAACCAGAGTGTAGTTCCTTCTGTTGTGTCATGAAATTCATGCAATGCTTCAATTCCTAATGGTGGTCCATAAATGTAGCTTTTTAGCTCTTTCCTTTGAAAGTTAAGATATCAGGTTTGGTCCTTGGAAACCTCTTTTGACATATAATGTCAAAAAGCTGGGCTCGTTCATCTTGGTTTGAGGAAAGACAGCATCAGACAATCAATCCTCAATTGTGTGTGTTGGCTCCAAATTAAAATTGAATATTGGGAGTATGTGTTTTTAGGGTGGAAGAGGTCAGAAAATGAGACATTCTTGTATATCCCATGATGCCATTAGCTAAGCACTGAAATATATCATTGTGACTTTCAGATGTGACCACAGAAGCAGTGAATCAATAGTACTGCCTGCATATTGGGAAATAAACTGGAGACAGAGTTATCTGCACAGCCTCTTGTCCCCTAGGCAATGCCTAAGAGAGACTTTTTTTACTCTTTCATGAGCATTGGTTCTCACTGAAATGAAGATGAGCCACTTTTTGTCCAATTGATGCCCAATGAAGTCTAAATCCTTTATTATTTATTCCTTAAATCTTTCCTGAGCAGAAGCTGTTAGTTGTGCTTGGAGGCATGGAGGTTCTGCCACTTGAGCTGCTTTGTCACTCTCAGAGCCTTCATATTTCTTGGGAACTTTGAAGACCCCCAGCACTACAGCATGAATTTCACAGAAAAGCATGGACTTTATTCAAAAAGATAATTTTTTTCCATTGCACAGTGAAATTTTGCTAAAGGAAATTTAGAAAAAAAATAGATAGATACTTAATAAAAGAATAATTTAGTTTAAAAGACTTCTTATATAAAAAAGTAGAAGTACATAATTCATTTTTATCAGCTTTATTTTTCAGCCCAAATATCAAAATTTGGCATAAGGAGCTTGGCAGATAGTTTTCCTTCCCACTCAAGGGTTCTAACAGGATGGAAAATAAACATTAACCACAACCTTAATTTTGTGCTTGAGAAAACTGAACTAAAGAAATATTTAGTCACTTTCCCATGCCAGGAAGCAAGTAACAGATTTGGAGACAAAACTTCGACTTCCAGCTGAAAGTATTTTTGCCAAAGCACAGCAACTCCTTTGATAGCTGTGCGTGGCAGGTGGAAATTTTTGTGGTAATGTTGTCAATTCAAATATTTTGTAGCCTTACCAAATTACTATAAAATAAGGAAAAACGACTCCAGCTCCCTGTTCATTATTGCAAGCTTCAAAGAAGTAAGGTGCATCAGCTTTTGGATGGTTTGAGCAGTAATTTACAGTAAATTGGGCGATACTAGAGTGTGCACAGGCTCTGAGCCAGTGGCATGGCAGATGAGACACTGCCACCTCCTGGGTTCTGCTGGCAAACAGGATGCTGATCCAACATAAAACCAAAACTGCCCTTTAAATCAAAACCTTTATGCTCCTGCAGGGGAATCCTGCCTAAGCCATGAGGGTTGTGTTTTTAATCTCCCGAATGAAGTTTCACTCAAAGGGTATGAATGAAGTCGGGACATCAGAGGCTCAGCAGCCCAGCACCCTGCAATGGGCTGTGAACAGATCCCCAATTCAGAGCCCCTTGTGTTGACATTGTGGCAAATGCTTCCTATTTGTGACTGGCTTAAACTGCTCTGATTTATTATTTATTGCTGTTGACCTCAATGTTTGTTTTGAAAAGATTCTGCTACTGGTTTTCACCCAGTTTTCCCTATGTTTTTCAGCTCAATGCAATGGCAAACAGAGCAGCAGGGAAGGGCTATGAAAATGAAGACAACTACTCCAACATCAAGTTTCAATTCATAGGCATTGAGAACATCCATGTTATGAGAAATAGTCTGCAGAAGATGCTTGAAGGTAATATTCATTGGGAACTTCATTGGGAACTAGAGGAAAATAATTGATCCTTCTGTCAAAGAAGGCAGAATAACTGCTCTGTAATCAGCAGCAGAGAAAAATAGTATGGAAAGCAATTTTTATCTATTGCAGCTGTATGCAGCTGTCTGCTGGCTAATGGGGCTTGTGCAATGGAGCATCATGGCAAATACTGGTTGGTGATTTCTTAATTGTGAAAAGACCTTGTTTCCTGGCTGAAATCCAGATATCATTTAATGACAAAATTAATTTTAATTCTGTACACCTTACTGCTACTCTGTCTTTTTTTGAAATTTACATTTCGATGGTGAAATAAAAAAAAATCCCTTATTGCTGACTTCGAGGCTAATGGAAAATACCAGCTGATTTTTTTTAAAGCTCAGAAAAACTATGGTGGGATTTTCATATAAGGTAGTTGAGCATTTTAGACTGTGAATTTTAACAGAAACTTATTCATGCCCTGCATAGAACATATCCCATCAGGTCTAGTAATGAAATTTACAGACAATGAATGTAACAATTCATCATCTTCAATATCCCATGGAAATTACTACCATTTGCTTTATAAATAGGTAACAGTATTTAAACCAGCAAAGCTGTTCTGCCATTTCTTATTTGCAGTACATAACTGTTTAGAGGTCATCTGGGAAAAGAGCAGGGATAAATAAGCCATCCTTGATTTTTAACAAGCAAATAGGAAATAGTGCTCACTCCACCATGTGTCCATATTTACTTCATGTACATCAACAACAAGTTCCATCAGCTCCCAGATCAGCTTCGTTTAACTTACTCTTGACTTGATGCTCTGCCTATGCTCTTTTACTCTTCATCTGTCTCCCACTGAGTGCATGCAAATGTAAATTTGAAATCTAAGGGCTTAAATTTTCCATGATAGGGAAGCCATGCTCTATTTTCACATTAGAGCATTTTATGGAAACCAGCATTAAGTGGGATGCAGGTAAAACATCTATTCATGAGAGTTTTCTTGGTCTAAGGAAAACAGTGGTGGGGAAAACAGATTTTTTGTTCACTAGGAAGTCTTGTTTGGCTAGGAGATAGGCTGGGTGAGTAAACAGGTCCCTTTATTTGTTCAACTCAGGACTATCAATGTTAAAATAGTAAACAACCAGTCTGGCTGCACGGGCAGTACTGTGTATAATTTTTGAGCCAGAAGTTCATGAGACTGGTCCATGGCCCAAACTTGCATGTAACAAGGTAACCTGAAATGCATTTAACACTTCAGGCTGCTTGGAGGGCACAAATTCTTAACATCTATTTTCAAATAAGCTGTATGGTTAAAACATCTGCTTTTTTCCTGGGTTTTATATTTGCTGTGTTGAAATCCCTCATGTAGCAACTTGACTGATAAGATTAGAAATCAGAGAAGTTAAGGACTTCCTAAAAGAAAAATCTTATGACTTTTAGTGTACTAGGGCTTTCCTCATGGAAGATGCTAGGTAGTTTTTTATAGTTTTCCTTTTGCACGTGTCTCTTAATCTGTTTTTCTGGTGATCTTTTATCTGACTTGAGCATACAAAGAGACCTAGAACCAAAAAGGCTGTCAAGGATGATAAAACACATTTAATATGGCTTTAAATTTTTATCAATTAATACCTCAATAATATATCAATAATTATCAATTAGTGATGTATTATCAATATCAATTAAAAAAAAGATGTAAATAATGAAAAGAATACATAAATAAGATAGCAATATCACTGTACCTGTGTGAATCTCAAGTAAAGCATCATACTACTCTTTACAGAATGGGTCTGCTGCTCATGATCTGTGGTAAGACTTTATAAGGTGCATAAAACCTTTGAAAAGACAAATGGGGCTGATGAAAACTGATTTTAGTTTAATGTGAGCTGTATTGTTGCTTAGAAGTATACAGCATGGAAGAGGACATCAAGATATACTTGGCCAGATGTGTTGCTGAAATACAAGGCCAGTTTCATTCAATTTACTGGTGCTAAGCAGAAGTGAAGAACAGAGGATCTTCACATGCCAGACTGCAGATTATTTGCAATATACAATTTTAAATAACTTCCAATGCTAAGAAAATTTGAAAAAAAAAATTAGTATTCAGTTTTCCATTAGAAAATGCACTTATATAGGAATGTATTCACTTGATCATTATTCATTATTTTGGGGGGCAGGGGGCAAAGGTGAGGAAATACATTTATACTTATAAAAATATCAATATTTTATTTTAGTAGCTGAAAAATTTTTCAGCTTTGTGATTTTACTAACTTTATTTCAATCCAATTTATCTTATTTTAACATATATTTACCCTAGTAAAATGTTGATTTTTGGCTAATTATACCAGCATTATAAAATTATCAAATTTTTAGAATAAGTTTTTTCTCAGAAGATGCAAAAAATTTTGAGATTTGACTGTGCTATGGAAGTGAAATGCATTTCAACATGATGGAATTTCCTTTCAAAAAAAGTATAGTGTGGATTTTTATTTTTCTCCATTTATAGATGGGTCTATGTGAAGAACTTTGAAATATTTTGATCCTGTATGCAAACTTCCTTGAAGCTATTTTTAACATTAGAATGACATTACACAGGGACTTTTCCTGCTAAAGATCCCAGGTCTGCCTGAGGCTGCTGTTGGCACTTGGGATGGGGTGGGCTGTGCTGCACACCCAGGGCCAGCTGAGACCTGACTCCCGTGTGTTGTGCACTGAGGTGATGGCCCCACATGCTCCCTGTCTGTATTTAAACAGCAAATATCAGCTTCTCCTCCCCTCAGACCAGGAGCAGCACTTGCTGATGTAGGAGCAGCCCCCTGGTCCTTGGACTTCTGGGGCAGATCAGGCAGGGAGAAACCCAGTGGGTTTGGCCCACAGTAACTCTTCCTTCCTGTGCTTATGGCTGTCCTGCCAGGAATGGGGGACTAGTCCAGCACACCCCTCTGGTGCTTCTGCTGGTGGGAGAGGCAGTTTCCAACATGTGCCCTTTTTCTTCCTCCCATTCTGAGACTTGGGTGCATTGCTGGAATTCCCAGAGCTCTGCCTCTTGGCTCTTGATTTTCCTGTGCATGAAGCAGGCCGTATTTCTCAAAGATTTTAGTACCTTTTCTGATGAGATGGAAATGCCCTTTCCCTTTAGGATAACTGAATTCATAATTGAACTCAGTATCGGGGTCCAGATCAGTTGCCAAAGTCATGTGAAATATACAGTGTATGCATTTAGGACAGCATGAACTTTGCACAGTGAAGTGGTCAGCAAATATTGACCCCAATTTCGGAGTGGGAATGAGCAAAGCACTGTTTCAGCCTTACCTTGGGCTTTTGTAAATAGAGACAGCAGCTTCAGCCAGTATTCAGCCACTAATTGGTCATGCTTCCATCTGCACAGAAACATTAATCATGTGAAAAGCTGTTTGCTTCAGTGCTGCTATCTCTGCATCTTTAAAAATATCCTCCAAAAATTACTTTTAAAATAACCATCTGGAAGGGGCCTTACATATAAACATTGCAAGACTTTGTATGGACACATTAGGCCATTTTGCCTCTGAACTAAATGGAGTTAGGACAATCAGATAGTTCAGATATGGTATAAACTCTGTCTTTGGCTTGTAAAATTAAATTTCAATTACACTGAAGGAAAATAAAGCTATTGGCCAGGGGCCATAATGGCCATAAATAACGGAGTCTTTTAAGATTTCCAGACCACAAGAGACTTACTAAGACACTAGTAATTGACAGATCATACATTAACTCAGTAAAAGCCATGATATTTTTCACTGTACTCTGAAAATTAATTTCACTGGCTAATATATTTTTTTCTTTAAAAGACAGTATACCTCTACATGGATCAAAATAAAGATGTAGTCTTTTTATGGGGTGATTTTAGCATCTTAGTATTGAAAATAGATTGCACCAAATTTCATTCAGTATGTGTTCTGCTGGATTGAGGTACCTTATTTAAATTCTGATTGGTTTTTTTTCTTCTGATACCACAAACTCCATTATTAAAAAAATAGATACTTGGATACAGCAGAATAGGAACTTAGAGTAAAAGCTTTTTTCCTTCAAATGTGGCATAGAGTTTGGAAGATTTTCAGGAAAATATTTTCCTTGATGGATTATGTCTTGTCTTCACCATCTGAATACTTTTTGACTCCAAGTGAAGCTTTAATAAGGTTTAATTCAGGGATGGAGAACTGTGGAGTGAACCACTTTAACTCAAGCACCTTCATCTGCAGTGGTGCTGGGAGTAGGAGGCAGGGGAACCACTTAGGTGTGTGTCTGCCTGTCCAACAGCAGAAATCAAATGCTTTCTGTTTCCAAGCCCTCATCATCAAACACATGAAATCCTCCCAGGGGTTTGAAAACTTCACTCCCAACACAGTCTTGGAAAATACATGCTTCAGGGAAGAATGGATTTGGATTTGTTTGCAATAGGCTTTATGACAACTTCTCTTTTTAAATTAAATCAATATATTGGGTGAAATTTGTCCCAGCCCCATTTCTCAAATACATGTGTTTCTCAAAGGTTAAATTTGGCAGAGATGTTCAAAACATGAGCATTCTTTTCAAAAGATGCATGTTTTACACAGTGGATATCTTAAGAAGAGGTAACTCTGAGGCTGAACAGTCAATGAAGCTAAAGGGACTCTAACTACTATGCATTTAAAATGTATCTTATTTTGCAGTTTGTGAGCTGAAATCACCTTCAATGAGTGACTTTCTGTGGGGCCTAGAAAATTCTGGCTGGCTGAAGCATATCAAAGCCATTATGGACGCTGGCATTTTTATTGCAAAGGTAAAGTGTGTAAAATGAGAACAAAACTTGGAGTAAGCAGATACAGAAAACGAGGACCAAGTTCTCTGCTTATGGGTAACATCTCATATCTCTTCAGTGATGTTATACCTGAAAAAAGCCCATCTTGCAGTGCTTTGTGTATGAGGAGAGATGATTCATAGGTGCTGTTGTGTTGATGCTTTTCTAAAATAGAAAACAAAATCTTGAGTTCTTTTGTGCTGAAGCCTCTACTAGCCTGTGTCTTGTTGTGGCAGACCTTTGAATGTCCTTACTTTACTCCCCAAGAGTGATTGTTACTGTTTCTTTCCCTATTTGCCCTGCCTCCTCCACTGGTTTCTGGGCATTTTCTTTGTGGAAGTGGTAGTTGTAATATATACATATAGCTATATATAATGTATAATAAGTTATATTATACACAATATATAGCTACTGTGTTATCTCCTCTGAGTTATCAGGCAACCAACCAAATTCACCTCTTGAACCAACTCCTGTGTATTACCATGGCCAAATTTTAGCAGCTTCTACTTTTATTTACTTGAAAATTCTTCCAGAAAACAGTTTTGGCTTTAGTAAGAAATTATTTCCCCTACTCTCCCCCACAGTAATGTAGACATTTGTCATCTTCCAGCAGTAGCTTTAATTTTGTTGCCCCCAACCTTGTGCTCTGCCTTTTACTGCTACAATTCTTATTTTTGAGATTACAATTTCTTATTGGCCATTTTATTCACATGACCTACTGCCCACAACTCTGCAGATAAAAATTCATGGGTTTCTCTCCTCACTACTGCTTGATTCTCTTGCATTGCTTTTGCCTTCTCGGTAGGCAACTGTAGTTTCTTACCTGAACAGCAACTGTGCAATAAATACACATATTATTACTCCCAGACCTACTCCTTTTCATTATTTCATAGGAATAAGGTTATTTACATTAGCTTTGCAGTCTTTCCCCAGTGGTTAGTCTTATTATCCTTTGTGTATATGCTTGCTAGCCTAGTGCTTTCTGACATGCATTTTGACCCATTCTTATTTGTACGGTTCTCAGGTCTCTGTTCTTGGTCTTCTGCCCACAGGGGTACTATTTTTGTCTCTTGAGATAAACATAGATAATTTATTATTATTTCTCTTTCCCTATTAAGCCCAAAATTAACATAAATGGTTTTTCTTTTCTTCCTCTACAGTATTTTTCCTAACCTACTTTATTTTCTACTTCCTAAATTCAGTTCTCTTTAGAAATGATAAAAACCAAAACCCTTAGAATTAAAAAAAACAACCACCAACCCTCAAATTCTAAAAAAAAATACAACACCAGACTCTGGAGAACTCAGTACAATTTCTTCTTTATGTATTTATGTATAAAATGGAATCCTCTCTCCCCAATTATTACATTAAAGATACTGATAAAATCTTGCTTATTAGATGTGGAAGTTTCCCACTACCACAGACTTCCCCAGAAGCCTTTACAGCATGTCACCAGTGCAATGCAGTGTGCTGCAATGATGTCCAGGCTAGTGATGGCATTGGAAGCAGACATTGCCTTTAATGACATTACCATCAAGATGAAAAATAAGGAGCCATATTGCAAGTATGGCTACAGACATTGCCTTTAATGACATTACCATCAAGATGAAAAATAAAAATAAGGAGCCATATTGCAAGTATGGCTATGCTTTTAGTGGCATGTAAGTGGCATGAGATGTGTTGGAGCATCTGAATCTGTTGTAGGTAGTTGTCTGCTCTGACAGATTGGTGTATTTTAGCTGAAACAAATCCCACATCTTCCTGTAGTGGAGCATAAACAGGTAATTCTCAACCACCATATTGCATGGCCTGGGGTGAATTAGAACGTTTCAAATTTATAAGGTTTCATTTGATTTTCAAATGAGACAAATAACTTTATTTAAGAACTCTGTGGTAGAGTAAAAAATGAATGAGCTTTCAAAGTTTCCAAATGAATACTTTCTCTATGGCTCTTGTCTCACTTTTTCTCTCTTGCCATTGTCTTCCTCCCTGCTTGTGAATTTTCTGACTTCTTCTGTATCCTTAGGCTGTGGCTGAGGAAGGTGTGAGTGTGCTTGTTCACTGCTCTGATGGCTGGGATAGGACAGCCCAGGTTTGCTCTGTAGCAAGCCTTCTATTGGATCCATATTACAGAACTATGAAGGGATTCATGGTAAGCAGGTTCTCACAGAGTAAATGAAGTAGTATGGCATCACTTCAGATGAATGTCTTTGTTTTAAATAGGAAACAAACTGTCCATAAATATACCCTTTTGTTTTGTTTTGTTTCTCTTAAGTAAGAGGGAAGGCTTCTATATGTTCATGTTATAGTCTCCCAATTTCTCTATGAAACATTATTCAAGGTGGGGATCAGTTGGTCACCTATGTTTGTTGTTTTGGTTTTTTTTTCCTAATCTTGACTGAGAAACTTTCTCATAGCCCAGAGAGCATTTGTGAAAGCAAGAATTTGTACTCATTTGAAATGAACATTTTAATTTTGAGTGTCAGAAGTATGTCTTTTCTAGACATTAGATTGCAATGAGCAGCTATATTGGAAAATCTGCTCCTTTCACAGGTCAATCAGCAGTAGTAAAGCATCTAGAAGTGGTTATCAAGTTACTGGTCACATGTTAAAAAGATGTTTGAGACATTTATAAGTTCCATTTTAGAAAGCAATGAAACAAGATGTTTGAAGTTGTGCTGAAATACTGGCACTCTCTCTGCATCCATGAAGAGTTTCCCTGAGCTGGCAAGCAGTGCTCATTATTTTTCTGCCAGTTCTGAAAATTACTTAGTATTCTAATATTGCTTGCTTACATCGTTCTTGCTTGCCACTTTTCTGATAATTCTAAGAATTAACTGGGATTCCAACACTTGTTTGCACCACCCTGCTGCCTGCTTCAACATGTCAGCTCCACTCCACAACATTGAATGCAATATTCTCATTTCAGGTGTTAATTGAAAAAGACTGGGTTTCCTTTGGCCACAAATTTAACCACAGGTAAGGCAGTGCTAAGGTTTTCCTCTCTATATATGTATATGTTTATGTAGTCTGTATCTGCTGCCATTCCAGTTCTTCTTTGTTGCTGCCTTATAAAACACAGCAACAGAATGCCCCAGGAAACTGTCATACTCTTTTCTCCAACTATGAGATTTAGCTGCCTGGAAAAGTCAGAGTGAAATATTTCTATATATGCACTGCTAAGGGGAGTCCTGCTGTGAGCACTGAGAGGTCCATGTGAGTATTTGTGTGTGTATTTTGCTTGCAAAACCCCTTTGGACTCCAGCAGATCTCCTCTGAGTGCCAAGGCCCCTCACATAAGTCCCTGTTCATCAAAGGGGCTTCTACATCTTCCAAGGCAGTACTTAATCTTAGGCATGTCTGTGACTTACCTATTACATAATATATACTCTTCCTGTTATAGTCTGTTCTAAAAAAACCAGCAAGATCTGCTCAGAAACGTCAGGCAAAGTGGGTAATTTATTTGAACAAGTTATTTTGAACATCAATCCAATGTAAATGCTATAATGTAATGAAAAATATTTGAAGACTTAATATATTTAAACATGGGTACATTTTCACCTTTTCTTTCTTTCATGACTTTACTTCTATTTTCTTTAAAAATTAAAAATGCAATTTTTATATTGGGGTTCAATTACATTATATTGCTTGATTTGAATATAAATTTGTTATAATTTAAAAAACCAACAAAGTTCAGAAAATCTGAGCATCTTCACAGCACCTGTGAAATTCCATAGGAATTAATACAGTTCATATGATACTGTCAGTTGATTTTGATTATCAGTGGCACAAGGTATTATGAAATGCAATAACCACTGATAGCTTTGGTTGGCTGTTCACTATTGCTGTATTTTCTTTGATGGTAATAGAAGTTTCAATTTTAGATATTTATAAAATTCTACTCTGTTGGCATATGTAAATATAAATGCACATACACCCCCCAACCTCCCTCCCCCGAGAATAATTGATTGAAAATGCTTCTTCCTATTATATAGACTTACAAAATACCTTTTATTTCTATGTGTATTTTATTTTCAGTCTCCTTTTCTTCATTGCAAGTGGTTCTAAGAGGCATTTTTATACACAGAAAGCTTCATGTTCACTTGACAGTCACAGCAGCATGTAAACATTTCCCACTTCCTAGAAATTTCACCAAGAGAGGGCAGCTTTAACCTGTTTTCTGCTGATGTTATAATGAGAGCAGATAGCTCTCCTGCTCAGTTTTCTCGTTTGGGGAATAATCTACTATTAAGAAACTGTCTTTAGGCACACTTTTGTCATTAAGTCATTTCAGCCATTCTTCTGATAACTTATGTTACCAGGGTACAATTTATACTGATAGCATTAAAACATGGCTATGCAGCAGCCAGCTTTTTGTAGCTGTAATATAACAAGACAACCAATTAAAGAGGCTTTTTTGTTTGCAATTCTGCCTCCATTCTACTTCATGATTCTTGCATCATTTTTTTAAGTAAAAATATAGTAATACTTGAGATTTTAGAAATGAATGCCTAGGATGTACCTTGCACACTAAAATGGGGGTTAGAGTTAATTCAGTTTTCTTACAGGAATTCAGGTTATAATTGGATGTATCTTGTCTTGTTTCAGGTATGGCAATTTAGATGGAGATCCAAAGGAGATATCACCTGTTATTGACCAGTTCATCGAATGTGTTTGGCAGCTAATGGAACAGTTTCCTTGTGCCTTTGAATTCAATGAAAGATTCCTCATCCACATACAGCATCATATCTATTCTTGCCAGTTTGGGAATTTCCTGTGTAACAGCCAGAAGGAGAGAAGAGAGCTGAAGTATGAAAATGCTTTCTTTAGTAGCATATTTATGCATGGGGTTCTGTGGCTGGTGGTGTATTGAGCAGTCAGACATTCTCCAATTTGCATGCATGTGTTTCATAAGGCACAGGGTGTGTGTCTTCTGGCAACACAGATTAATACCAAAAAAAGTTGATCCTCTGCAGTGTAGCTGTGCTGGGAGCATAATCCATGGTGTGTGTGACAGGGATTAGTGAAAATTGACGAGAGCATTATGCCTTCAGCCATGTGGGGCTGCCTTTACTGCAGCCCTGACTAAATACAAGGCAAGCTGGCCCTGTAACTCCAGTATGAAATGATGGTAACTCTAGTTAAGTTCTCAGTTTAAGAGTTACTGCTCCTCTGTGTTTTAACCTGTCTTTGGATCTCATGTCAGGACATTTTAGTCCTGCTCTCTTAGGTACTTCCTTATGAACATCCTTTTTGTCTGGTAGCCCTCCTTAGGACTGAGTCAGCAGACTGTCCCGCTGTCCTTCTGGCCCCAAAGCAATTATGAATTAATCTACCTGTCCTGAGGCCCAAACAAAGACAGCATCATGATTCCTGGCAGTGCTCATGTTTGCATCTGCTTCCCAGGGCCCTGGGTCCTTGATACATGATGACATCCATTGCTTTTCTCAAGCAGCCTGATGATGTCAGCAGTAGTAATGAGAGGAGGTGCTGCTGGCTGCTGCCATTTGCTCCCTTTCACTGCTCAAATGCAGAGCAGCCACAGTGAATGTCCATTTAAAATCAAAACCTTCACAGATCACCACATCCCAAGACCCAACTGTGTAAGAAATTGCAGCTCAGTGGGATAGGAGTGCTTTTAAATGCGGGGATCTCTTTGGTGCAGAGATCTGTCTGAAAGCTCACTTTATGGAAATTATCCTCTCCACCTCACAAAGGAACCAGTCTCTCCACCTACTCATTCTAGCTGTTTTTGCTTTATGGGAAATGCATCAGATTTTGCTTTTAGTGAGCTGCAAGGGAATTTGGGTCTCTGTTTCTCTATGCTTGTAACTTAAGTCTAATTCTGTCAAGGAAGCTGATTGTAAACTGGAAGTATGGAGGACAAGAATGCTGCATCTAAGCTTTAGCTATCCCTGAACTGTAATAGAGGCTTTAATATCTTTTTATTTAATGTATTGTTTTTCAGAATCAAAGAAAGAACGTATTCATTGTGGGCTCACTTGTGGAAAAATCGTGCCGATTACCTGAATCCTTTATACAGGTCAGACCACAGTCAAACCCAAGGGACCCTGCACCCACAGATAACTCCATGCAACTTCTTGTACAAGTAGGTAATACCACTTGCTGCTGGGAATTGTAGCATGGGTTAGTACAGAACAGAATGCCTTTGCATATAAGTATTTCCTGTTCTATAAGGCCATTGATAGAGAGTAAATTCAGTCTCAGATGCAGGATGTTTGTTCCTTGTGTGCTCATAGTGAGCCAACACCTCTGCACCATTCCACAACAGAGTATTAGTCTGAAAAGAAGATTAAGATTAAAGCTATATTGATAGTTGTGTGTCCTAATTTCAAGGTTACTCACTTCTTCCACTGAGAAATGCTTCTTTCAGTCCTGTTGTCATCTGCTGTTTCTAAATTTAAAGTCAGTTTAACTTCTTCCATTCCAAGATTATGTGATGTTAGTTTGGATCAACTGGTGTCAAAAGTAAACAGGATCTTTTCATGAAATCATATGATTTCATTGCTAAAACAAGTATTTTGTAAAAAACCCCAGACTTTGCCCATGGTGTTATATCAGGTAAAACGAAGTTAAGTTTTTTCTGATATTTCTTCAAAATATAACAAAATACCATCACTTCAGAAATGTTACCATTGACATTCTGAGTTAATTAATTGTGCCATTACTCTTAACACACTTTGGGAGAACTTGAATAGAAATTCATTAAAACTGTCATTTAAGTAAAACTTATCAGTTTGTTTTCCAGTTGCAAGTAATAGCACCTGTTAAAAAGTCAATAAAATCCTAAATGACAGAAATTGAATTCTTTCATGTCTATATACCAGGTCACATCCACTTTAAAACAATTTAAAAATAGTCATTAATCGTATTCTTTGGGATAGTGGGATTTATAAAAGAAGTACTGATACAGCAGATCCTCCAATGGATAAGTAATCCTGTTGATTTTAATCTAATTACTTGGGTGCGTAAAGATTTCCAAGCATGAGCTATCAGATGATAAACTTAAGGGGGAATGTGATTTAAATAGTATATTATTGGGATAGGAATAATAAGCCACCAAGCAGCATGCACGGGCTCCAAATATATCTGTCAGCTCCTTGGCCAGACAGCTGCAGCTGACAGCAGGGCTCTGCTACTTAACCTGTCTGGTGAACTAGTTACACACCCAGGGCCTGCCTGTGGCCCTATGCCAGCAAGGCAGGAGGAGCTCCAGAGTAACACAGAATTCCAAAGCTGAGTTCACAGGAAATTGAACAACAATTGAGAACTACAAATATGAAAAACTGTCTTTACTAACATTGGCTATTTTATAGGTACCATTGCTCTAAAGCCCATAGTGTAGAACAGTAATACCAAAAAGAAGCTTGTGAAGTTTTGCATTCAGTGAACCTTTCTCAGTTGTGGTCTAAACTACATTCATCTTTCTTTCTATTGTCTATCAGAATTAATTTGAGCTGCTTATGTCCAGCTGCCTATGAGTTGCACCTTCAGGATAGAGGAAATGCAAATGAACAATGAACTTTGCTAAATAGTCTACGAACTTATGTGCACTCTAATAATGAATAAGCATGGATAGATAATTTAGGACAATATGTGTCTGGGGAAAAAAACAAAACCAAACAAAAGGTGTGCATTGAAGTCTCATGAGGCTACTTCACTAAATGAGAAAATTGCTGACCTTGCCATCAATTCCAGGTTCTGGAGTGGTATGTACAACCGCTTTGAAAAGGGGCTGCATCCTCGACAGTCAGTTACTGATTATCTGATGGCAGTGAAGGAAGAAACTCAGCAGCTGGAGGAAGAGCTGGAAGTCTTGCAAGAGGTAATAAACAGCTGAGCTTGATACCCCAGACTTGGTAACTGATGATAAATTAAACCCAGCTCCATATGCTGCAGAGTCTGCTACACATGACATCCTTTTCTGGAAGGAGGATGTTCAACCATCCTCTTTGTTCTCAGATAAGCTATTGTGATTGTTTTGCATTTAAGACACAAAAGTGGATTTTTTCTTTAAGGATAAAATTTTACCTGTGTTGATGCACAAGTACTACTGAAAGTAAGTTTAATCCTTCTGTAACTCAGAGGGAATTGTAGCTCAGAAGAATGCTGTAATTCAGCATTGGTGTGTGACAAATTGTGCACTTCTCATACTCCATAAATGCAAATAGTCAGTTTTAAAGGGTGGGTTGGGCTTTGGAAGTTTCTTTAAACAGAAAAAAGCAAGGACATATAAGAGGATTTCTGGACCCTAAATGTGTCCTCATGGTAAATCCTATTTCCTTTATTTCAGAGATTGGCAAATCTTCAGAAATCACAATCAGGTAATAATAAAGTCAAGAGTAAGCAACAAGACCGAAGCAAACAGTTTGGACTGTATACCTCCAACAACAGCTTAGCTAACACTCCCCAGGAGTATAGCAGTGATCTGAAATCATTCCCATCCCGGAGCCCTTCTCAAGGGGATGAAGATTCCGCCCTGATTTTGACACAGGATAACCTGAAAAGCTCTGATCCTGACCTCTCAGCCAACAGTGACCAGGAGTCTGGTGTGGAGGACTTAAGCTGTAGGTCCCCAAGTGGGGGTGGCTGCGTGCCTAGTGAAGACAGTGGCAAGGACTCTGACGAAGCTGTATTTCTGGCAGGCTGAAATACCTGCATGGCAGCAAGGATCCAGATGATGTAGAGTCTTACACAGTCTGGAATGACATCTTTTCATCAGATGAAGAATGGAAGTGGTCTGTGGCCTAAAGAAATAATCCAAAGAAAGGGAACTGTGCAATTGTGTAAGTTAAGATCTGAGCAGAACAAGTCATTACTAATTTTAACACATTACACTAAAGAAAGGTAATGCTGTTATATTTCATTAAGCCAATATGGTGGTTGTTTTATCAATGCTGTACATAATTATCCCTTACTTTGTACATTTCCACAGTTATTTATTGGACAGGATAATAGTTCTTTTCCTAAGATGTGAAATTCCAAAGTACTCTTACAGAAGGCTGAAGATGCATTATTGTTAGCCTCACTGGTGAAGCAGTCACAACTTATTTTTGTACAGCTCATTTACCTTCAGACATATGTATTTTCTCTGCTTTTTTCTTCACAAGAAGTTAGAACAATTATTTTGCATATTCTCCTACTAATATCCTTTACAGCAAAGTAAAACTAACAAATGGACACCCTGGCTCAGGGGACAAGGATTTTTTTGATCCTTGAAAAAAAAAATCCATTAATAAGCAGTTGCTGCTGCTGCATCTGAATGCATCCAATTTCTACTCAATTCTCAACCACTGTTGAAAGTTCAGTAGATTCTGTGACCACAACATCAAGGCTCACACAGCCTTTGTGCTAAAACACTCCTTTGTAACAAAAGCTGCACCAGGCAGTTTGCTCTTGCCTCTTTATGTTTTGTTATCAAGTTTGTTTATATCTTACCCGTGTTCCAAACCACCTACACAAGATATAAAATTTTAAAGGTGATAAAATCCCTGATTCTTCAGCCTGTTTTCCTACTTGAAAATGTTTTGAGTGGAAGTGAGGTACATACACAGAGTAGATGGAATAGGGAATATCAAATCACTTACAGAAATCATTATGAAAACATCATTCTGAATCAGTAAGTAAATGAAAGCTATGCCCATAAAGGAACTGTTACAGAGAATATTTCTTCCAAATTTTGTTATTCAAAATAAACTAACCGTAACCACCTGGTGTTTCTTATCCTCACACAAAATTTCCCTTTTAGTATTTGCCAACCTGAACAGAGCATGGCAATACTAATTTAAGAAAAGGACTGATTCACTATTTATCAGAAAGTTTAATCTCATTTAAGAATTCAGATATTTTTGAGAATAGGAGTAATATTTTTCATAATCAACAGTTCAGAAGTAAACAACTGAAAAATCTTCAAAATTTGGAATGTCTTGAAACTCACTAAAGAGGTGGCCGGCCATATTAGGCTGCAACTTGATTTCAAGTTTGTTGTTTTTTAAAATTTTATTTAAAGCCAGCAGTTAAAAATATCATTCATATGGCTGCTTTTACATGCTTGAAGACAGTGCAGAATTGAACTCTAGTAGAGCAAAGTGGTAGTAATGTAAGTTTACTTAGATTGCATTTCACACACTCCTTCAAGTACAGACCTACAGAAAGAATAGTATTATATAAATATACCTCAATTTAGAATAATTAGATTTTAATTATTCAGTCTGCTTTTCTGGAATGGCTTTTCATTCTGTTCTGTGAACATGTTATTGAAAGTGAATAGGTAAACTTCAGTATTATTACTATCCTCTAAAGGGAGCTGCTGTCTTTGAACAAATAATTCTTAACAGCAAGGTTTATCTTTATATTGGAAAGGTGAGATCCTCAATTTGATAAATCACTATGGCTCAATTCAAATAAAAACAACAATAAATGATATTCTGTTGAGAATCTAGCCTTCTGGTTTTTAATCTTTATGAATTTTTAATAAATTAAAGCCCTGATTTTAACTGCACTTTTAAAAGTGTTTTGTATTTTGAACATAGCCTGTAAACTTTATAGCATTAAAGGAAACTTTGAATGGGTTTTCTCAAACTAAAGAAACATGCTGCAAAGTCAGCAATGAAAACAAAACACACAAATATTCTGCCAAAAAATCAGTCTGAAAATTGGCAATGTTATTGTACATATTTAAAATGTAAAATGGTATATGAAGACATTGTGTTCAACTAGACATGTACAGAAATAAATGCAGAAGAGGAAGACATGCAAATTCAAAGCACCGTCTTTGTGTTGCTTATGCAACGCCTTGTAACTAGCTTTACAACTAAAATATTAACATACTAATATTTTCTTTATTAAGCCTTCACTTAGCAGCCCTCTGTGATGTGTGTTTTAGTCCTTAGAGTTTTGCATTAACTACTACTGCTTACATTGTACTGTATGTATTTGTGGCATTATCAGGCTAATGAGAAACACCTTCAAATAAACACTTAGGTGTTATGAAATGTTATTTCACACCAGAGACTGAAACAAAGGATTGCTTTCCTGATTTTTGTAATAGAGTTCTTCATTTACTCAAGAGTCACTTTGTCATTGACATCAAGGGATTCTTGTATCTCCCCTACTCTGATACTTGAATCCAGCAGCTGCAGTTTTGGAGGAATCTACAACTGATAACTAAACAAACTGAGACTCTCATAAATTGTGTTAATTATATGGGAACATGTTATACTCCTGTATTTCTATTTTTTTAGGAAATGAGAAAAAAAAAAGATAAAAAGACTTCTCTATTAACTACATTGTTTTCTTGTAGCCTTGCTGCAAATCTTTGCAAATTTGGCCCATTTGCAGTAAGTCCACCGTAATTTGAAATAGGACACAGATGAACTAAACTGCTGAAGTCCTCACAAGGTTCAGGCTGCTCTTTAGCATTAAAATGTGCCTCTAAGGGACACTGAAGGCAATGGGATCAAACAGCTGAAGCCTCCTTTACAGAAGGAAAACTATTTGCCAGCTGCTTTTATTGGTAACTCTATACAAGAAACAAATGTGGTTAACTGGTAATGGATTCTAAAAAGCTGAGAAATTAATTAGTTGGAGGGCACAACAACATGGCATCAATAAAAATAAAAAAGGAGAAACAGAAAGTAAAAGGAGGAAGGCAGGGAAGGAAAGCTCTTTGTAAAATCAGCAAGGCAGGGAACCACGTTCTTTGAAGACAGAGGCAAGCCAGGGCATGGGTTCACAGCATGAAAGATATTTAATGACACAAACCAACAAAAAAACCACAGCAATAAAATGGGATAGCCTCTGCAATGAAGGTAAGAATGCCATCACTGTTGACCAGCTAAGTTAATGCTTTTCTGTGGACACTGCCCTGAACTGCGTACAAGAGTTCTCAAGTAGATCACAAACACAGCCAAGGCCAGGGGCTGCTGCTGGGTGCAGAGACAGGTAAACACCACAGTGATTGAAAAATCCTCCAAGAACAGGTAAGTTGCTGACAATTCATTTGGGAAGGGAGGAATACGTGCTGGATGAGTTTGAAGTAGGTCAGCTTATGACAATACTAAGACACACGAAAAATATGCCAAAGATCATCATCAGCAGCAGCAGCCAAGTGTGCTGCAAACCCTGAATTCAGAGAGGTGCCAGAGTGTGGGCATAAGAAGATAAAATAAACATTCAAATTTACTTATATTATTTAAATTGCCGGTAGAGCAACTGAAACCAGCAAATCCAATAATGTTAAATGTTAAAATAAAATGTACTAGTCTTTTAATATAAATCATTCTGTAAAGAAGCTAATGAAGCCTTACAGGTCCACCAGAAAAACAACTGAATTCAAGCAAGGACTAAGTCTGTTGCTAAGGTTATTCAGATAAATTTATTCTGTTTCTGAAGACTAAAGAACACAGTTCTTTATATTGAGGTATTCCCTTGTTATTGAAATATAGGCTCTCTTTATAGCTTATTACTGCATAGAAATGTGATGTCTACAGGTATCTGACCAAAACAAGGCATTTTCAAAACCCAGAGATGCAATACAGGTTTTTAAAGCCCATTTTAGTGAAGGTAGCTCCAAGAATTACTGCTGTTTAAATGGTTGAACAGGAAAAGCTCAAACCACTGCACATGAAGATAAAAAGTTTGTCCTTGAGTACTGCATCCACTTCCAACACAATTCTATATCCACTCAAAAAAGTCCTGCAATGCCCAACTGTATCTGTAAGTTATATGACTACAAGACATATTAAAATCTAAAGCCTTTATTTGTAAGTTTAGCACATTGCAGTATTTACTGTTCAGAATAGTTAAGGCCGTGATACTTGACTTTGTTGCCAGAGTTTTACCTGAAGGTCTCTTAAATCTCTATTTTATAAAAATTTATTCTAGTTTTTGAAGGGAGTAGTTAGAACTTGGACATGTATAAAATTTCTAACTTCCACATTTGGTCCAGCTCCTAAGTGGCAAAGCTGCTGGAGTATGTAAAGAACAAACAGAATTATAGTTCATACTGCTTAGAACTGACTTACCAGTCTCTTGTTTGCAGTCATAGTGCCTCAGCAAGTTCAGATGACACCAAGCTGGGAGGAGCAGCCAATACCCCAGAGTGCTGACAGCCCTTCAGAAGGATCTCATTGGAGTGGAGGGATAGGAAGAGAGGAACCTTCTGAAATTCAACAAAAGCAAATGCAGGGCCCTGCACCTGGGGAAGTACTGGGTTCCTCAGAACAAGGAAGGCATGGAGCTCCTGGAGCCATTCCAGCAGAGGGCAACAAAGATAAGTGGATCACATCACTTAAGAGGCTGACAGAGCTGGGCCTGTTTAGGCTGGTGAAGACTGAGAGGGGACCCCATCAATGTCTGTAAGTATCTGAAGGAAGGGTGTTAGAGGGTGGAGCCAGGCTTTTCTTTGTGGTGCTGAACAATACCACAAGAGGCAAAGGGCAGAAACTGATGCCCAGGAAGTTCCACCCAATTATGAGGAAGTTTTTTTCTGTGTGGGTGACTGAGCACTGGAACAGTTGTCCAGAGAGACTGTGGAGTCACCTGCACTGGAGATATTCAAGAACCATCGGGGCACAATCCTGTCCCATGTACTTCAGGATGACTCTGCTTCAGCGGGGTGGTTTGACCAAATGACTCAGTGTGGACCTTTCCAACCTGACCCATTCTGTGATTTAGCAGTAAGATCAGGTATTAAAATTAGGCAAACCCCAGACTCAATCAGCAGTTCAACAAAGAATGTACACTCCCTCCTGCAAACAACTGCAACATCAGAGCTGAGCAATCTTTTTACTCTTGAATTTCTTGTTTGTTGAGTTGGCTTTCCCACTGGGAGAACATCTGAGCATGACATTGTGCAAGGCTCCCAAGAAACAAGTCATTGTACATAGCCTTTTATTCCAGATTGCTTAAAAGCTCTCTTGACATATTTCAAAAACCATTAGAATATGCATCTAACAGCACCTGACATTCTCTTACACTTTATGGGAAACTGGACTTACACCTACACTTCATATTTTCGCAAAAATTGAGGTAAAGAATGTGTTTAACAGTGGGCTACCAGCATGCTACCAGCTACCATCCCTAACTCTGATAGAGTGTTATTATCAGTGTTCTACCTTGTCTTCTGGTGAAAGTAGACCAGGGAAGGCACAACCAATGTAGGACTAAAACAAAAGAAAAACAAAACAACAATAACAAAAAATCCTCAAAAACCACCCCAACCAGCGTCAGGTAGGCCCTTAAAGACCATAAACAGGCTGGACATTCTTGGATGTGACAGCATTCCTGCAGCTAATCCAGTATACATCATCACTGAATACAGAGACTTCTGTGCCTCTTTTCTAGAGGATGGGTTTGTGACTGCAGAAGGGGCTAAAAAAAGGAAAAATATCCAAAGACTAGTAACAATGACATCAGAGAATAGAAATGAAGAAAAAAGAACTTAACTTTGAAATCCCTGAACAACAAACACTGAACTTGCATTACACAGTAACATTTTCTTGTAGATTCTACTCCACTACCATCAGAAAGACTCCATGGAGAAGTTCCCAGTTTGAAAATTTGCTCACTAAAGTAACATAAGAGGAAAAGCTGAAGAGTTCAGAACTTGTACTAGCAAATCCTGTTATGAAACGTATAAAGAAGATACTAGCCCAATACAGCAAGAAAACCAGGTGTCTGGTCATCCATGCCATTCTCTGTTCACAAGAAACAACAAAAAAAACCAGCTCTGCACAGGATTGTGTGTAGTCTTGGGAGTTAACTAGATTGTCAGAAACAGATCAGAAACAACTCAGCAGAAAATTAGATGGGATTTTGCCAAGAAGGTTACAGTGATGACTTACACATAACTCTTCAGAGCTGCAGAAATCACACTACTCATAGACGCAAGTTCAGAACCACTTAGATGTTTACATCATCTAAGGCTTTAGTTAGCACATTAGCAGGAGTGCTATGTCAATGTACAGGCAGCACATTTTTTTAATAAGAACCTCTAAAATTATTGCTTAAGCATTCCATTTATAAAGTGCTGATTTTTTTTCAGACACTGAAGTATGTTTGATTTGGACCACAGATCTATTTTCTTGGGACATCTAATCTCAGAATTTGGATCAGCTTTAAAATATGTCCTATAAAATACCAGTGAATAGTTTACTCACCCTGAGAAGGAACAGCTTAGGACAATCACAAAAATGTAACAAACAGCAGAGCTGAGACTGAAGACCCACTAGTCTGTGGAACAGACTTTTTGCACTTACATGATTTTCTTTCATTCAGAAGAAATATCACAGTTTGCTGGCAGAATATCAAGTTTAGGACCGAAGATCAGTGATATAGAAAAGCACATGCTTGGACTGTGGTCTCAGATTTGAACCTGCCATGTTCTGTGATCCTATCTAGGTAACACATAGGTAGAGTCTTGGCTAAGAGGTTTATCTCCAGACTGCTTCCTGACAAGAAAGAAGCAGGATTTCTGATACATTACTTAATCACACTTTATCCTACTTACAACTCTCAAAACTGTAGCATTCCTTCTACTCCTCCTCCTTGACTGTCTCCATGAAAGCCTGATGCATTGAGAAGGTTAAGAAAAAGAATGTGTCTTCTTGCAAAAGCAAGAGAGATAATACATGCATATTTAGGAGCTGTATTTTTCTCCTAAAGAACACTGCATTTGGTCCTACCCATTCTCACCAGATGTACCCCATCCCCAGACTGTCAGCTTACCAGAGGCAAAATTCATTGATTAAAGCACAGAATTGAGTTTCACTTCCGAATCCAATCACTTGCCTTACCATATGAGAACTACAACCAAATTAGTTTGTTTCTTAACATTAGAAAAAAATAACTGCTTTTCAAAGAACTTCAGAACTAGTTTTTGCAAAGTGTTTCTGAATTCCTCACATGATGAACTTATTTATATTGCATAAAACAGAAACAGGAAGGTGACCTGCTTATTATTCCTTATGAACAAAATAAAAAGAAAATGAACTTGTTAGATGAAAATTG